AAAAAAAAAAAAAAAAAAAAAAAGCAAGCTGCTCCTAATGCCCAAGGAGGTGTCTCAAGTCTTTTATTAGCTCTCACAGCCCAGCTGGGAATTTAACAGTTTGGGGTCCTTTTCAAAGCTTCCCCAAATGTTCTGTCCCAGAGCCTAAACCATTTGCAGTTAACGCTGCGGAGAGAACGCTGGGATTTAAACAAGCCCATCGCACAAGGGACCAGAAGAACCGAGCAGAAAGGGTGTGCAGCCCGGGAGGGTCAGTGTTGCATGATTTTTTTTTTTTTTTCCCAAAAGAAGAAAGTAAAGTTGCTGCAAAGTCAAAAGAGGTCCCCAAATTCATCAGCACACAGTAGGCACAAGGGACGTTCAAAGGATTTTACCAGGGTCGTGTCTGATGGAATGGCCGGGACAACACGGGGTGAACCGCACAGGCAGAGAACAACACGGCCCACAGCACCCCGCATCTACTTCTAAATCCTGCAGGTTTCGCCTTTGATCACACACTACCAAAACGTCTAGAAGTCTCTTCATGTCTGCAATAATTCAGATCGAGCTCCCCTCCTTGACTACAGTGGTCAAACTTTCTAAATGCAAAGCTTGTTCCCCGGCCTGACCTGCAACTGTCTTCCCTCGATTTTATTGTGCGGTGGCAGAGCCAGCGTACGGTTGCTGAGTAAACTTAGCAAGTCAGAACAATCAGTGGCTTAAAAGATTTTCCCTTAAACTAAAAGTTTCGTTCCAACACAAAGGCGCCTACAGTTAGAAACCCCCAACGCTTTCCCAGAGCGGCGCGGCGAGCCGGGACACCAACCCGGCCAGAGAGGGAGAGGGACCCCGGGCAGCTTCTCCCGCAGGGCGACCCCTCCACCGGGCACGGCCTCGGCGGGGCCTGCCGCTGGGCAGCCGCTGAGCGCGCCTGGGGATGGGGGCGTCGGGGATGGCAGGCAGCCTCCCCAAAGTCATCAGGCAGTGCGAATGAAAAGTCACCAAGTAGTGGACCTCCAGTCCAGAGAGCCCTGGCATTCCCCTCACCAAGGGCAAAGGGAACCAGGGGAAGCCCCGCGTCCGGGCTGTTTAAGCTGCTGCCCATTGTACCTACCCATAAATGGCATCTTTATCTCTCTTTAAAGCGTCATTGACGGAGGAACCCATGCTGGGGGCCATGGCGTTGGTGTGAGCTGTGTGCGGGTACTGATGCGAGTGCAGAGGAGGCCCGTGGTTCAGGTGGTGGACCGGCTGCATGGATCTGGCCGCATGCGGGTCCCCGTACATCGTGGAGGGGATGCCCACTCCATCCATGCCCCCGTAATGGGGTAGGTCGTCGTACTGCATGGCAAACAGGAGAGAAACAGGGTTCAGAAGGCCAGGCGGGCAAATGGGGGACCGGCAGGGCACGGAGCTTATATAATGTCAGTCCAGCTGGATCCTTCAACCTCGAATTCGGTGGCCTTGCATCTATATAAAGTGGAGATTTTCTTTTTTTAATTAAAAAAAAAATTTTTTTTTTTAAAGTAAAAATTCTAGGATTCTCGGCGAGACCCGGCTAGGATGAATGGTCTTGCCCTGACTTGTGTCCCTATCAACTAGTTCAGAAATTCAGAATCCTTTAGCAAGGAAGGAAGGAAAGAAAGAGAGGCATTTTCCCGGAGGGTGGAAGGTAAACCGTGCATGTCTCCATAGGAGGAAATTCAAAATCACAATAATAAAACGTGCCAGGACAGTGCAGCAAACCCGCCTAGTTTCACAGCCCCTTCTCATCAGGGGGAATTAAAAAAAAAAAAAAAAGTTACGATGGGAACAGCTACGCCAAGCACGTGAATTCAGACAGGCTTCTTATTTTATTTCCCTGCCAGCAAGAGGTTAGGCAGTCCTGCAAGACACTGCATTTCCTTTGCTTTCCAAGACAAACTCTGCTAAATTATACAAAACTAACCGGCCCCCTTGTAAGTGAAACTCAGAGAAGGGTAGCTTTTCTTGTACATTACAGCTGGATTTAGAATTGGGCAATTTCCACCTCAATGGTAAAGAAAATCTATAGTTGGAACAGTTATTCTATTTTCTCTACTCTTAAGAACTTTCTACCCAGACTAGAAGTCAATGAGGCAAATGTTACTCATCAGGTTTAAAGTAAATTCAATAGCAAATGCATAAACAACCTCCCATCTTCCTCCTCTAGAAAAACTACTTTCACATTGATTGTCATTATTTTTGTGTGCAAAATTTAGCTATTGAGATTTTTCTCATTGGTTCATTCCAGGCAAGTTTTTTTCCCCCCTTAAGATTTGAAGGCATCAGAGTGAAATTATTTTCAAAGAAAAGAGGAATTGCCACTTTCATCTCCTTAGAGCCAGAGGTGTGAAAAGAGTTTGGAAGAACGCTGACATTTGCCTGAACCAGAGAAAAAAAAAAAAAAAAAAATGTGTCAGCCTAGTAACTTTCTTTTGCAAACAGGGCTTTGAGGGCCAGGACACAAATTATGCAAGGAAGGCTTTTTGTAGACCCCCTTTCTTTTAAGAAACTACCACAGTTGGGTTGTCATTGTCTCACTTTACTCTCACTACATTTCCATTCAAATAGGAATATTGGAGAAATTAGTATTGCATTTTAAAAATGAGTAGCTGTGTGCTTAGTATCCAATTAGTGCAGGGCTTGTCTAAGATAAACTTTCTAAGTATTACCTTGCATAAAAATCCATGCACATTAAAATTACTTTTAAAAGATTAATGTTTCCCGACTCCCCCAAAAACCGTTGTACTATGACAAAGTTACTGGCTTTAAAAAGCTAAATGCTCCTGATGGTATTAAAGATGAACATAATCAATAACATAGCAGAAGTTTCTAGCTGTTCATTTTAGTTTTAAAATAGCTCTAAACTTTTGCTCTCTGAACTCTCACATTATAGCATTAGCTATCTAGCTATTTTTGATTTTTATTTTTTAACCAGATGGTTGCCCAAGCTTGTATTTTTATTTATATAGCTGCTGGTTAAGGAATCTATAGAAAACTTGATTATTCGAATTAACATGTAACATACATAAGTCCACAAACGCACTGAATAAATACGCTCACTTTAGGCCACGGCTTTAAGAGCCTCATTCAAAAAGACAGAGAGGAAAAAAAGGAAACTTTTTAGCAGTGTCTTTCAGCCACGTTTCAATTTAATCTCACATTTGAGTTCCACAATTGTTGTTGTTTTTTAATACGTACCCTTTGCGCCATCGGCCTCCCTGGCTCCCTTCCTACTTCAACTTCTAATATATCCTCTTTAAGGCCAGTGTGAAAGGAAACAAATACGCAAACTCCCCCGGAAAAAAAAAAAATGTAAAAGCAGGACGAAAAAATCCCTTAACGTCTCCAGCAACGTGAACTACTAGTCCCAGATCTTCGGTCTACGGGACCTGAAGCAAAGCGCCCGAGTCACTGAGCATAAAAGCGCTCCGTTTCCAAGACAGCGGCAGGGGCAAAAAAAAA